TCGCTTCCAGCCCTCCGCAGCAGCCCCTGGGGACCTGGCCGCCACTCTGGAGGCGCAGCCACTAGCTGACAGTGGGGAAGTTCGGATCAACACTGTGGCTCCACCATGAATATGCAAGAGGGAATCCTGAGGTAAGGGGTCGTCAGAGGGCCAGGGGCTGAAGGGGCTGCTGGGAGGTGGGGCAGACTGCCGGCTAGGAGTCATGGCCTGACTGTCCAACTTTCCGATAATGTTTAGTTACCTTTTAAGAAATGCACTTGCCTTGGACCTCTCCGAGGCCAAAAGAACTAAAGGAATAAATTCTCCAGGAGCACTGACGTGCGTGCCTGGAAACCATCAGAGGCAGGCCCCTAGATGGGTGACAAGGCCATGGTTGCAAAGCCAGCTTCTTAGCTGGGGCCACCCAGGGGGCTGGTGTTGCCCAGAGTGCTGAGGGATCCACCCACTTCAGCCTGGGCCTGGCTTCTCCAGGGGCCTGGATTTGTCTCTACCCTCGGGGCAGCTGTGTCTCAGACATATCTTGTTTCTAGGTATTTGTCAGAAGTGCTTGGTTTGTTTTTAAGATTTGCTCCCCATGGCTTGGAGCTAAATTCTAGCTGAAATGTCACCCGGAAGAGGGGTAGCTGGTGCCCGAGGCTGCCAAAGGCAGGGCAATTGTTCTGGGATACGACTTCTCATAAAGGGATTTCAACCTTCAGTGCCCTGTGGCCACATCTGGGGCACTTCCCCACACATATGAAAGACCCCAGCGGCAAGGCACTGACCTCCTCTCGAAGCCAATAGTCTCTCCACCCCCACCACCCCCAAACTGTTCTATCCCATCCACTTCAAAGCCCAAATGGTCTGCAAGAGCCCGGGGTGAGGAGGGAGGGGGTAAGGACTGGGGATGCTTGTCCCTGACAGTGACTGCCTAAAACCTGAAGCCCATCCTCTATCTCTCTGGGTTCCCATCTCCCCCAGATCTTCAATGAAGAGCAAGGACGTGAAGGAGAAAGGGAGCACTGGACAAAAGTTGGGAGTTATGCGCTAGTGGTTGGTGGGTCAAATCTGGCCCACAAATGTAGGTTTTTGGCTGGAAGAGCATTTTAAAAGCTTTCACATTTGAATGCTGTTGGATGGGGCAAGCCCTCTGATTGCCTCAGGTCCCACCACCCATGCTGCCTCTGGCCCGGCCTGAGTGACAAGATTACTCCATCTGTCTGAACCTGGGAAGCAGCAGTTCAGGGCCCTTGAGATTGCGATCTGTGTTTCCCAGGCCTGTGGCTGCTCTGAGGGCCCTGCTGGGGGACTCCTACGTGTTGTCACAGACAGGGCTGATGTCTGAACCGCAGTGAGGGGACATCTCATAACCCTGGAATCTTAGACCCTGGAGTTGGAGGCGGGCCCGTGTCTAGGCTCTGCCAGGACTAATGGTGTGGTCTGATCCCCTTGGAGGCTCAGGACCCAGCAGGGAAGAAGTGTGGATAAAACCTCAGAGGCACTGATATGAATGCATCTGGGCAAAGACTTTGCAGGTTTGGTGTTAATGAGAATCAAGGTAGACTGGCAATGCCACCAAGCCCCAGGCTATTTGGTCAGGGCAGCCTCTGGGTCCCTGTTCTTTTTTTCCTCCTTGTGGGTCTAGGGGGTTTCTAGGGGATTGAAGCGTTTGTCTAAGCCACATGCTCTCATGACAAGAGCACAATTCTGTGGAGAGAGAATGGGGCCCAGAGATCTGAGAATTCACTTTACCTCTCTCTTGCCATGCAAACCCCAAATCTCAGTTTTACCATCTGTAGAATAGGCATTGTGGTCTTTGCCCCAGGGAATGGTCAAGGATTGCAAAGCACCATACAAATGTGAGTTATGAAAGGGCTAACCCTACCTAAGGCGCCTTGGAAAAGGGAGATTGGATTTGATATGTCATCAGATTTTTCAAGGCTGGAGCTAGACTAATGATATGAAGCTTTTTCATAAAATCCACAAGGTCCTTTCCAAAAGTCAGAGCTGGAACATAGGGCTGAAAGCCCATGGAGGAGTGCCCCAGGCCTCCAGCCACAATGTTCGTGAAAGCTCTGACCTTGTGTTTTCCATTCAGAATTCTCTGGCATTTAATCAACGGCTTGTGTCCTTTGGAACCTTTCTCTCCAAGCTCCCAGGCAGTTCCACTGGGCAGTGTGTGTACCCTGAGCTGGAGAGAGCTGGTACATGTGTGAGAAAATGCGTGTACATCCATGTGCTCTTGTGCTTCTGCCTGGCAGCCCAGGAATCAAGTGGTTGTCTAAGAAATACAAATGCAATCTGAAGACCAGCAGAGCCTCGGGGGAGAGAGGAGAGGCATGGGGGGACCTCATCACAGGGCAAGAGAAGGAACGGAATGGAGCCAGCTGGGCTTTGATGAGGAAGGACAGTGTGTGCTTTAGGCAGTTGGTTCAGGAAAGGCTGACCTCCCAATATCCTGAGACCACAAGGAGGGATGAGGACCAAAGATGTGGGTGCAAGAGGCCAAGAGCCTGTGCTGCAGACTCCTGAGCCAACCATTTCCTGTGGAAGGGAAGGAGGGAGGGAAGGAGGAAAGGAGAGGCCAGCTGGTATTCCTTCTCCTACCTTGCCTGGCAGGTGGAGGCTGGAGCTGGTTCATCCTGTTCCAGAAGGTAGGCTCTGCCCCCAGCTGCCTCTCTTCTTTGCCCAGCAGGTTCCAAGGAGGTGGGTGTGCCTATGGTGAGCCCACTGGCTCCACCTCTGCCCTGGGTGCCTGGGCTTTCTTGGCAGTTCTAACAGCCCAGAACACTCTATCTGTGGCAATGGGCCCAGAACGATCTCCCACTGCCCTCACTGTCAACTTCCCCAGGGATGGAAGGATGATCACCTTGTGCCAGGGGTTGGGGGGTTGAATCCCAGCCCTACCTCTGCCAGTCACTGCCTGTGGCCTCCACCTTGGTAAGCTTGTTTCCTCTTCTCTTCCACCACCTTGTAGGATGTTGGGGAGAAAACACTTGATAGTGGCCAGAGGATATCTGTTCTATTTCCCTGCATCATACCGGGCTTCCCCAAACTGGGCCTCGGTTTCCCCTGAGGGGAGCTGGACTAGATCTTCCTCAAGGCTGATTCTCATCTCTTTGGGTGTTCTTATTTCCCATTTGGTCCAAATATTAGCAGGACTCAGATGCCCAACTCTTATGCTTGCTTATAAGTAGAGGACTTGCCCCAGATGACCCAGTCACAGCCCCAGCATCTGGGGAAAGAGGAAGTGGAGGAGAGAACTATAGGATGGCCCTGCAGGTGACCCTGCTGTACCAAAGCAGTGGAGACTCAGAGAGGTGAGGGTCTTGTCTGAGGTCCTACAGCAAGGAAATGGTGTGGCCAGGATAAGACCTCTCAGGGCCAATAGCCTCAAGTGCAGGCTCTTTTCTGTCCCAGCTCTTTGCCAACTTGGTGACATGTAAACATTGGGTATCCTGTCACATGAGATGGCAAAGTCCATTGTCATCACTGTAATTCAGCCCAGATTTGGACAGACCTCCACCTGGCTGCTTGGAGCTGGCAAGAGAGATTATTGAAGGAATTGAGGTCCCAGGCAAAGAGATAGTGGCCCCTGGAACCCCTATTTCAAAATCACTCCTAGTTCACATACCAGTTCCTCACTCTCCCAGAAGGCCTTCCTCTGTCCCCCACATTCTCCCAGGTGTTTTTTTCTGACCACTCCAGCCTACAGTGAGTTCTCCAAGCTCCCACTCCAGGCTCCAGGGGCCCTTGGCCATGGTGCTGACCATCACAACCCCCTGCATCAATAGGTATATACCCATTGTGCAGTTAGGCATCTGCTCCCACCCCAGCACCTCTAGTCCCAACTGCACACTGGGCTCCACAGGAATTGGGAGAGGCTGATCAGGAAGTTCTGGCTGACTGCTGTAAGGGTTTGTGGTCCTTGGTGCAAGAACTTCCTTTTTGTGAATTATTGTCTACATGGCAGGGACAGGCTTGCCCAGAATCCACTCTCTGGCATCCTGGAGGGTGGAAGAAATGTCCATGGTGGGTGTCCAATGTGATATGAGCCTGGGAACACCTCAGAAACACATCCCAGTTCAGTTCAGTGGTTCCAGGGGCTTGGGAGTCCTCGCCTTGGACTATGGTCTTCTGGGTCCTGCCCAGCCGCAGCACGGAGTCCACAATGCGGTCAGCACCTTGGACAGCATCTTACTTTAGAAAAGTAGCTGAGGAATCTCCCAGACAGTTCTTTGTTCTCTTTGAGTCCTTTGCTATGGAAGAAGAGCTGCTCACACTGCACAGGGCCCAGGAGAAATGGGAGTCAGGAAGCCAGGGCATCTCTCCAGTGTGTTTCTCCTGAGGAAGGGTCTCAGGGGGGAAGCGTGAAGCATAACCAGTCCAACGAGACTCCTAGTCCAGACGTTGAGGAAGTAGCAATGAGCAGGAGGCTGGGCCCTGAGGTGGGCATCCTTAGTCTCAAGGATAACTACAAGCCCACCTGTGGGGGGCAGCCAGGACAGAGGGGATGCTCTGCACACAGGTCTAAGATGTCCTGTGACACATCGGGAGTACTGGATGCATAATGGGGAGGCGGTCTGCCTCAGTTGGACCCTCAGGCCCACAAAAAAGCAAGAAGGTATTTACACGGGTACTGTTGAAGTGACAAAAGCAAGCTCTCCTTCCCAGGCCTGGGGCAGGAAGACAGGTGGATGGTCAGACAGCTGGGGACTGGCAGGCTAGGCTGGGGCTACAATTGTCTGCAGAATAGTCCGTTGCTTTGCAGAGACCCAGTTGCTGTTGGGAGCAGCTTGCTGATTGACTCTTAGAAACACACGCGTGTCTAGAAGTCTAACAGCCTTACCATAGAGCCCCAGAGTCCTTGGCAAGAAAAGGTTGGGAGGGAGTTTCAGGCGAGTGGGGATTGCTGGAGGATGGTCTCGCTGGGCCCCTCTGGCCATCTTCGGAGGGGACGAGAGGCTACCGCCCTCAGTGATATGTGTGATAAGTGCTTGGCGCCTGCCTGGCTCCGAGGGTCAGTGCCGGTCGTAGGCAGTGGCGGCTGCTGGCGGGGCAGCTCCTCGGGCCGCGGCGCTGTAATAGTACGGGGAGCCTGGGAGAGACAGAAGAGGACACAGAGGTTCCAGGGTGACCCTGTGCCCACAATCCCATACCTGGGGTCCCCTTTCCATCGGTGACCCCCACCCTCTCCCCTTCCTCCCAGGCCACCAAGATTCCTGCCCCAGTCTGTGCCCCCAGTTGCAAACCTAATCAGGGTTGCTTCCTGCCAACAAGATTTCCAGGCCCCCTCACCACCTAGAGCTGGGGTGGGCAGACTGGGGCCTTCAGGTCAAATCCTCCCTGCTGCCTATTTTAGTAAACAATGTTTCACTGGAACTCAGCCTTGCCTGTTTGTTTCTGTGTTGTCTTTGGATGCTTTTATGCTACTATAGCAGAGCTGAATACTCCAACTGAGGCCACATGGCCTGCAAACCTAAAATATTTACTATCCAGCCCTTGACAGAACAAGTTTGCCAACTTGAGGATGAAAAGCCATCACTTCTTAGTCCACCCCATGGATAGTTTGTGACCTAGCTCTGCTGACCTCCCTGAATGTACCTCCCACAACCATCGCCTCCCACCCCATACCACTCGCATCCCATACTCCAGTGAAATCAAACTCTGCAGGTGTCTCAAATGCACCCTAGTACTAATAGCAACTACCTCTGGATAAACATTTCTTTTGCCCCACACTGCTATGCCTTTCACGTGTGTTGTCTCCTTTTCACCTCCTGGGCAGGTGAGGTAGGCCACTTCATCCTGCTGTCCTGCCTCTGTGCCTTCTTCTGCGCTCTGCTGCCTGAAGCCCCCTGCCCTGAGCACATGCTCCTTTGTGGCCTGGACCCTTGCTCCAATCACCTCTTTTACTGCTTCTTGCCCCTTCTCTGGACAGAGAGCCCCACAAGGGCAGGGGCTGGGCTCTGCTCTTCTTGCCATAGGTCCTCAGGCCCCAGTCTGCAGCCGGGCACTTGCCAGGTGCCCACAGCCAGGTTTGATGAGTAAACGAACAACAGCGCTGAGTAGCAGAGCCCTCTGCCCACTCACTCATTTATTTGCTGGCTCTACTGGAGACCGTAAGGGGCAATGATGCACAAACATCACAGACTAACGTCCAGTCAGCAGGGGGATGAAAGCTCTGAGGAAGAGTCAGGTTTTCTGGAGGATGGGGGTTGGGCTGGGTTTGGAGGGCAGGAAGATAGAGACATGGGGCACCTGAGGTACGTAAGTCCCTGGGAGAAGGGTGAGGTGCAGCCCTGCTGCCTGTGACCTCCAGACAGAGCCAGTGTGAGGGCCAAGCTGGGTTCCTCCCACTGTCTCAAGGCTTCATCCTGGGACTACCTGCTTTGGATGAGGCCTCCAGGAGGCCTACACTGGGCCCAAACTCCTCCCCAGCGGTAAAAGGGTCTGGGGGGCCCTGGAAGACCAGTGGGTTCTCAGAATCATGCAGGTTAGAGATACGAGGCCACCACTGCCTCACCTTACAGGTGAGGAAACTAGGCTCAACAGACCAAAACCATGTGCCCACGCCATGGGGCCTCTGAGCGCCAGAGCCTGCATGCATTCAGGACTCTTCCCACCACAGTGCAGTTCACATTCTGTCTACCCAATGCTGTAGGGCCCTGTCTACCCAAGGGGACAGTATAGGGGTCTTGGTAGCCATGGAGACTATGCATCTCTTGGGGTGGGAAGAGTGAGCTACTTAATTTCCCAGGGGAACAGACTCAGGTTTATTCTGAAGTCCCAGCCAAATTCAGACCAATCCTGGTGATTCTCCCGGATACCATAACTGAGCGCCAAGGCCTGGACTCTATCACTCTTGGTTGAGTGATCCCTTGAGTCTCAGTTTTCTCATCTATAAAAGGGGGGTCACAATGGGGCTATTGAGGGCACCATGAGATAAAGATGTGAAAGTACTTTGGAAGTAGATATTTTTCTAAGCCACTTATAGCCAATCATTCTTTCAATTTCTAAAACAATTCCATCAGGCAGGAACTAGTATTGTCCCCATGTAGCAGATGAGGAAGCTGAGGTACGTAGCTTCCCCAAGATGATATAGCTGGTATGTATTCAAGAGGGCAGGACGGGGGAGGCACTTTTAGCATGTGCCACTGGCCCTCGAAACCCAGTCCCAATGAACAGACATACTACTTCCTCCCTTTGTTCTCTCCCGAGAAGGCAGGATGGCTCAGGCAACAATGACAATAGAGGAGCCGTGCTGTTCCAGAAGACACCAATTCCATGCCTACGTGTTCGCAGCGATGGCTTTTTCTGCTACCTCCTCTGTCACCTTCCAAGTTAGAGCCCTGACTCAGAGACACCTGTCAGCCAGCCTCCTCCACTCTCTCCCTTGGATGGGGACAGCATTAGGACATTCACCCACAGAGAATCTGCAGTGCCAGCCCTGCATCCTGTCCTCAGATGAGACCAGGAGAGAAGAATGTGTGTGCGTGCACGTGTGTTTGTATGTGTGTGTGTCTTCAGTGGGGACATCCCTGCAGGCCTGGCATGGCACAGGAGCAGGAAAACCACAGGGGCTGCCCTCACAAAGGGGCCTCAAGGGGCAGCAAATGGAAGTGAGGCTCCTTGGCAGCTCCTGGCTCAGCCCTCTGAGTTCCCCACTGGCCACCTCTCACCCCCAGCTCTGACTCACTCCCTTTCCAAAGCCTAATCTCTTGGCCAGCCTGTCCTGCAAAGTCAAAAATGCATTTACCATGAGAAATGAAGACATCACCCTACAAAGCGCTCTTTCTGATGCCCACTCGACCTCCATCTAGAATAAACCTGTCCATTTCTTCTGTCATTTTCCCTCTCTAATTCACAGCGTCGTCAATTTGCTTTCTGACACAGTCATTCCAGGCTCCTGCTCACTGCCTAACCCACAGGCACACCCATTCTAATCCTGAGTGGCCACTGCTTTCTTCCCCACCCCCTGCCTCTGCGCCCTCCCAGCCTGGCTGGGCCTCCTGTGGGTAACCTGCAGGCAGCCCCAGCATAGGAGGCTCGGCCGGGAGGGGAGTCCTCCCTAGAAGTCAGTGTGCAGCTTCCCTAGAAGTGCTTCCCATCCTCACGTTGGTGGTGTTGCTGTGAAGGGGGCTTCGACTAGGCTGGCCGAGGTGTGAGCAGTGTGCGTGTGAGGGCGGGAGCACACGGAGGGGCTCTGTGCGTGGAGGGTCTCACCTGTTTCCAAAGCTCCGACTGATCTAGCGGGAGCACCAAGCAGTCTCACAGCGGGCCCCCCCCCCCCGGGTACCTTCCCCAGAATAATCAGTCTACATCTCTGGTTCAGTGGGATTCTTTCAGCTAAAGCCCCGAAAATGCTCTGGATAAAGGGCAGTCTGGTAGACGTGAATGGACCTGGAACTTATTTGCAAGACTATGGTAGAGTGAGCCTGGCAGCTCGCTCATCTTCAGGAAAGTGGGATCACTGCTTATTCGGGACTGTGGGCCTCAAGAGAGCATCATATTCAGCTCCTGCTTGAACGAAGCTGCCAGTGGCAATTATCCTCATTTCACACCTGAGGCAACTGAGGCCCAGATTGGTGGATGACCTGACTATGATTCCCCAGGTTACAGACCTGGGAAGTGCAGGGGCCACTTCTCATGTTTATAACTGCCCAACATGGTTTAAACTTTTCCTGTGTTTTCAAGATTTTCTGTAGTATGAGGCCTGCCTCTTTGAACGAATTAATTCTCCCAGCTCCGCCTGCAGCTGCACAGGTGTGTCACCTGGGCTCTGCCAATTAGAGTCTCTTGCATATGACTTTGTGAAGAAAGCAACATGAGGAAGTGGGTGGGCTGAGAGCCTCCATCTGCTGAGTGGATGGCAGAGGCATCCAGCTCTGGGTGGTGGTAGCGGAGAGCTCTCACGCACCCTCGCTGGAGCAGCATAGAGCATAGAGCCAACTGGCAACAGCAGGAGGCCTAGAGCAGCCCTGGTGGTGTGGCTGGGTGTTGTTCCCAGCTGTGTGTCTCACACCTGTCTCTTTGGTCCTCCAGGAGATGCTGGAAGCCTGCAATATCCCTTAATAAATTGGTTTTCTGCTTAAACCAGCTAGAGTGGATTCTGTTGTTTGCAACTGCAAGTCTGACAGATAAATACAATAATCTGGCTTTCAAAAATTGATCAGAGCTGTTCTCATTACATATACGATCTGAGTATTCAGGATCCTCCAGGCTTCTTACAGAGGGATGAAGCCTCTTTTCCTGGCTGTAGTACTATTCAGACTTAGTTGGCCAGGGAGAAGAAGAGTACCACATCGTATACTGGTTATGAATATAGGCTCTGGGATTAGGGTAACCTGAGTTTGAGTCCTCATTCTGCAATCTCCTGCTGTGTGACCTCAGGTAAGTTAATTGTCCTTTCTGAGTCTCACTGTTTTCATCTGTATAATATAGATAATAGCATGTGCTCCCTTGGGCTGTTGAAATGATAAAAAATAAGGTGACCCACATGACGAGTTTTGCCCAGTATCCACACAATTAGCAGGTAGTCATTTAGATGGACAGGGTTTTGGGACTTTCTCCTCTTCCCTATGTTGGCTCTAGCCCCTCTCAAGGCACTGAGCACCTCCCGGCACAGACACCCTCACCCGAGACTCCCTCACCCCCAGCGTGGAGGCTCCCTGAGACAGAGTCCACATCTTTCTCCTACGAGGCACACAGCCCATGCCTCACACCTGGGGATGTGAGCTGGCCTTCACTCCAGTGTGAGCAGTAAAGGCCTCAAATGCCACCATTTTCCACCTTCCCTTGCCATCTGCTTGGGTTCCAGACCCATCCCTCTGCCCCTACCTCTCTGAAAGATGCTGGTTCAGGGAGACCATGGTTAGCCGTTGCCTCCCAAGAATGACAGCTGGGCCAACTCAGAGACCCAGGCCTCTCAGGGGGGTTATTTAAGGAAAAGCATTAGGTAAGTGGAGAGACATGGTTCAATACTTAGAATTAATTTTTACCAAAACCAAAAAAGAAGTCTGAGACATCAGTCCACAGATCAGCCCCTCCAGACCAGCCCCATAAATAGCAATATTCTAGTCTTCTATAAAATGAAATCTGCAGGCATAGGGACCTGGAGTACTACCTGGCATTGTTCTTTACTGCACCCACTAGTCTTACATGACACATCATAGTGCTCTGGGCAGCTTGAGGCAGCCCGAGGTCCGAGTGCATGAAAAAGTCTAGCCAGGAAGGGATGGTGTCTATGTCACATGTCTGCCCTAGTCACCTAATCACAGTGGTGACCACATGGCCTCCTTCACAGACCCATGACCTGGCAACTTGAGTCTGAAGGGACCAGGTTCTTGCTTTTCTGATGAGGTCTGTTTCCCAGTCCTAAAATAATTCAGGATCTAGGAATTAATATATTATTATTATTATTATTATTATTATTATTATTATTATACTTAGGCTGCCCTAGTTAAGCTGGACAAACCTGGGTGGTCTCTGAGACTTGTCCTGACCTGTGTAAGAATTCTTCAGCTGACTGCTGGGGCAGGATCCATGTTGCTGACTGCAGGCTCATTGGCTAGCTCTGCCCCCAGGTGTTAAGTGACATCTGTGAGCCTGGTCCCCTGCTTCATGCTCCAGAACCTTCAGCTCCCCTTATTGCTCACCAGCTGGTTTCATGTAAGTTCATTTCAACACAACAAAAGGCTCTCCTTGGCCTTTTGAGGGCTGAGTTAGCCCTACTTGGTCTTTGGAGTGGCCCAAATATCTTTGATGATGTACACAGGTCAGGCTGGCCCCAGCAATGGATCATCTGCCAGCCTGAGGCCTGGGGAGAGGTTGGGTGCCTGGGGAGAGGTTGGCTGAGCTTGGAATGGGTTGACTTGGAAGGCCTTTAGCCGCTTGCAATCAATTTCCAAAAGGAGCTGGCTCTGTTGATGTCCATGGCAGACATCACTAACCAATCACTAAGCCTCCGAGTTCTGATCAAGACAGGTAACCACTACCAATCAATTCAGGTTGGCCTCCTTACTGCCTCTCAGGGATTTCTCACTGGAATATTCAATGATCCTTAAGAAATATGTTACTCCCAGGCAAGCACATTTTCTACATTCCTACCATCCCTTCAATGCCTCTTTTTCTCTGTTTTCCTTCTCTGCCGTTTTGCCTTATCCACCAAAACCTCTGGGGAAGGGATGAGGGGATGAGCAGGGCTGGAGTGGTGTTTACTGTCCGAAGCTCCCATCACAACTCTCAGATGGCAAATATATGAGGCAAGCTACCCACCCCCACTCAGGGCCCAAACCTCAGTCTGTCACAGGACCCAGCCCAAAGAGGGATCCTACTGGGGCAGCTGATGGCCCAGGAGCCCCACAGGGCCTCCACCAGTACTCACCAAGCAGCCCCGGGTTGGGGAACCTCCAGGAGTCGTTGTACGAGGGATACTGAGGGTGGCTGTAGGGGCTCCCGGAGAACTCGCTCCCTGCATTTGGTGGGCGGAGAGAGAAACAGGAACCAAATGTCAGGTCAGGTTTGGAATATGCCAATGGCGTTTGCCTCTTACATGACCTGCAGGCACTTTTCATAACCAATGAGGGCAAGTCTGGTCCACGTCCTTATCCAGTGGACGGCTAACACTGGCATTGTATTTCCCCCTGCAACATTTTTCTTAACGGTGGGAGTGAATACCAGCCTCTAACATATATACCATGAAACTACTACATGCCAGGTGTTCCCTGGGGTTACTGGACCATTTCACAGGTGAGAAAACTGATGCCCAGGGTCTCTCACAAAATGACCTTGACCCAAGTTCAAAGCTACAGACTTCCTGGCTCTCATCCCTGATGGAGGCACTCCAGTACCCCAGTGTGGTCTGAATTCCACTGCCCACATGTTTCCCACGTGGCTCTGGACTGAGAAGCCAAAGGTGACCTCTGCTCTAGTCTGGCCCTCTGTGTTGTGAATCCAGAGGTGGCTGCTCCTGGGGCCCTGGCCTAATGGGGAGGATGAGACAGAGGCTCAGGCCCCATGCCAGGAGAAAGCAGATGGCACTTTGCTGAGCTGAAGGGATGAGCCAAAGGGCTGGGGAGCACAGCAGAGGGAGTGGGTCAGGGCCTTCTAGGCATTGGGAAAGGGGCAGCTGTCACTGCTGGGGTTGCTGAAGCAGAAACCACAAGCTGTGCCAGGGTGGGCACAGCATCGGGGAAGGGGGACATAGTAGGACCTGGGAATGGCTCGCTCTTGCCCAGCTGCTCCTGGGGCAGTGATTCTTGCATCTGGCACTGCCCTGTGCTCTTTCTTCAGCCTCAGGGGAGCCTGTTTACCACCAGCCAGTTATAGGAAAGGAAAATTCCTGCCCTCAAACCTTGCTGCCTGGGCTCTGTAGCAGGAAGGGCCCTGCCTGCCTCCTCTGAGTGGCTGGGATCCCCAGAGGGCACCGTTTGGGCCTGACTCAATGCCTGGCACCGGCTGCGTTGGTGGCTGGCTGTTGAGTGGCTTTTTAAGCCACTGGTTCCGGAGCATGTGGGCCCCTCCCTGGCCGTGGTGACAGGAGTTATATAGCCCCACGAGACCACCCTCAGCCCAGACATGCTTCCATGCATTCTCCAGGATGCTTGCTGAAGGGCCAAAGGGCAAGCACCTCCAGAAGGACCAACCAGAAGTCAGGACCTGAAGCACTGCTCTCCCCCATTTCGGCCAGGCCCAGATGCAGGGTCCCTGGAAACCCACCATGTAGGGCAGGAACAATGAAGGAAGCCCGAGGGGCTGGCCTCCTCCCCATTTCTCCAGGCATCCACAGGCGGAGCGTGTGCACACTCACACACACAGACACACACACGTGCTCCTCCTCAGGCCTCTCTGGGGGCCACTCCCAGCCTGACAGGCTGAGCCTTCCAATTCTCTGTTTTTTATGCCTCAGTGGTCAGGGTGTCAGGTTCCGGCGTAGGGAGGGAGAGCATGGTGACAGTGCCGGGCCGGGCCGTAGCAGCCCAGCCTCCACATATCCATCAGAGCCTCCTCCTCCTCCTAGGAGGCAGGGTGGGGGATCAGAGGGGACAGTCGCCCTCCCCTCAGGGCTCTGGGCTGCCCCATCAGAGGCACTTCCTGACAGCGTTGTGCCTGGGCCCAGGGCTCTGCTGGCAAAAGCTGTCTCAGCTTCTCCATCTAGCAGCATCATGCTCATCTGCCAGGCTCAGCTCCAGGGCCACCTCTTCCGGGAAGCCTCCTTGATCTCCAGCCTCTGGAAGTGCTAGCCTTGGGTCCATTCAGCTGGAGTTAACTGTGTGTTACCCACCCTTCAGCCTCCACAACCACCACCCAGTCCCCAATTGGCTAACATCTCTTTCTCTGGGAAGCCCCCACTTCAGGTGCACCCAGTTTCCCGCAGCATCACACAGCACCTACATGGGGGGTCTCCTGTGTCATGGGAGTGTCTGCCCTGCAGGTCTGGGTGTGGTTCCTCTGTGCACCTCTGTGCCACCCCCCACAGTCCCTGGGTAATGCCGTGTCCACAGTGGATAGTCGGCATTCCACAAATCGCCGGTAGCTCACCTGCCTCTACCTGGTACATACTGCTCTTGCACAGCTGTTTGCATGGCCTCTCCCTCACATCCTTCTAGGCTTTGCTCCAATTTCATCTCCAGACCACCAAATGTAAAATGGAAACTCCACCCCACCCTTCTTTCCTGCTATATTTTTTTTTTCATAGAACTGATGACAACCCAACATATCTTGTTTTTGTTGTGCTGATCTTATTAATTTTGCCTCCTCCAGTACGATGGGGAGCAGGGAGTTTTGTCTGTCAAAGTCACGTCTCCCTCCCAGTGTCTAGTATAGGGCCTGGCATCTCGCCGGCCCTGAACGCTATTTGTTGAATGAATGAATGAGTAGGCACCCCACAACCAGCCAGGGACACAGATGGTGGCTTCCACTACTTCTGCTATTAGTACTGAGAGCCAGGGGTGCATTGAGCACCGGCTGCATGCCAACCAGTTTATCTGATCCACTGCTGGGTTCCACTCACAACAGCACTCTGCTCCTCGGTGGATGATATGAACCCCTGGAGACCCCCCTGGCTGGTGTGCTGAGTGGGGGCTTCGTGGCCATCCTCAGCAAGCCCTGTCCCATGAGAAGCCCTGGGAGAGTGAGCATTCGGAGAAGAGGAGCTTCACCATCTTGCGGCATGAGGCTGACCCTTGGGGGTGATCTGGCCACCTGCTGGACACTCTGGAATGTTCTCGGATGATATGATGGACCACAGAGAAAACTAGTGTAGGGAGCCCTCACCCCAGGGGATGTGGGGAGGCCAGGTCCTCAAATACCAAGGAAGCTGCCTGCCTTATAGACCTGGCCTCACCTGCCCTTGTGGCTGGGAAGCAGCAGACTGCCTAGGTTCAAGCCTACATGCTGCCACTCAACCCGGTGGTCTCCAGTCAGTTCGGCACAGAGACTGGGAACAAAATCTCTGGAGCCAGACTGCTGGGATTTAAATCCTGAGTCTGCCTCTTCTGAACTCTGTGACCTTCAGATCATTCAGCCTCTCCATGCCTCAGTATCCTCTGCAGTAAAGTAGGAACAATTAATAGATGCCACTGCATGCGGTCATTGTAAAGACTGAATGGGTGATACACAGAGTGCCTGGTACACAGTGAATGCTAGCAAATGTCGGCCATGATGACAATGACCTGATACTGGTCACCAAGGCCTCCCCAGCATCCAGAATCTCATTTAACCCTCCTGACAACCCTATGAAGCACACAGGTGGGTGCAACTGTCTGTGTCTTCTGTGTGAGGAAATGGAGGCCCAGGAAGGTGGGGGAACTCTGAGGTTGGCCTCCTGCCCTCCGGTCCCAGACTCTCTGCCTATGTGACACTGCCTTCCCATCTTTGGCCTGTCTCTTTATTTTTTTAAAGGCCATTCTTGTCAGCTGAGCTTGAATTTCACTTCTCAGGGGCCATGATCCTTTTAGCAGGGAAGGAGGCCCTGTCCTTGGGGGCTCAGTGGATCCCACCTGCTGCTGGCTTCTCTGGGTCTGGAGGCTCCAATCACCTATTTCATCTCTTCTGCTTAAAGTCACCACATTATGACATCCAAAGGACGTTCACCTTCTTTCCTTCAAACCTTACAACAGCAGCTTAGAAAAATGAACCCTGTCCAACCAAGAGAAGGTCTGGAGAAAGCACTGGGGGGTACTTTCTGGAGTGCAGAAGAGCATGTGAGCCAGCAGAGACAGGATTTTGATATGGAGAGGGAGACAGGCACAAGAAAGGTCGGGGTGGGACTGGTCAGAGCGTGACGCCCTGCATGGCCAGGTCATCATGAGGCCCAGCAGAGGCAAGCCACAGAGCAGAACTGCGTGGGGCCAGAACATTATGCTTTTCTTCCAGTAGAGCTGGGACCCAGGGAAGACTAGGGAGCAGCAGAATCTGGAGGGCAGGCTGGAGAGGGTGAGCCTGTGGTCAGGGAAAACCAGCCAGGTGCCTGCTGCCATAGTCCAAGCAGATGGAACGGAAGCCTGGGAGACAGCATGGCTACAACAACCGCAGGCACAGAACGATGCTCTCCAGGGTGGAAAATGAAGTCCCCCCCTCAGGCTCATTGTTAGGACCCCCAGAAGTACAGCTAGCCTGCCTGAGACAAAGATCACACAATGAACACCTTCCCAGATGGCAGCTACACTTGTGGTAAGCAGAGCTGCAATGTATAAACTTGTAGAACCTGCAACTAATGTAACATGTGTGTCAATTCACTCCCCTACAAAAATGAACTAAAAAATAAACACCTTCTCTTGGGTAGCCCGGGTGGCTCAGCGGTTTAGTGCCGCCTTGGGCCCAGGGCCTGATCCTGGAGACTGGGATCGAGTCCCACATCAGGCTCCCTGCATGGAGCCTGCTTCTCCCTCTGCCTGTGTCTCTGCGTCTATGTGTGTGTGTGTGTGTGTCTCTCATGAATAAATAAATAATTTAAAAAAAAACCACCTTCTCTTACCCCCACCCAGCACAAAGGACAGCATGGGCCCCTTGAGCCTTTCCACCACCCAATCCAGGCTTTTGGCATCTCTCAGAAAATACCAACTGCTTCAACTGTGAACCATTTATCCATTAATAGAAAAGTTTCTGTGAGGTAGATTGGGGTGCCAGCTCATGCCCAGGTGTCTGTCACTCAGTGGACAGTGAGACCTCCATCTGGGAAGCACACAGCACCTGGGCCCTCCTTAGAGAGAGCTCCTGGGCTGTCTGGAGTTGGTCACATATAAGCCCCTAGGAACTCTCACCAGCAAAACATGTCATGATCTTCTCCATCCCCAGCCTCCTGGGAAGGAGCAGTCCCAAGGGGGAAGCCAGGATTGGAGTGAGACCAGACTTGGAGTCAGCACTGCAGGTTGCCCCCTGCCCCCAAGATGCCATAGGAGCTGAAAGCAAAGAGGGATCAGGGAAGGTGTGTACACAGATGAGGAAGGGAGGGGGGGGTGGGCAAGGGTA